GCCCCGACATCTGACTGTTTAGTACTTGGGACGTCCTCCTGATGTGAAAGCTGCTCTTTAAGTGTCATTTTTTTTAACAACTGTCTTAAATCAGTGTCCTCGGGTTACTGACCCACAACCCAGTGGAAACAGTTTTTCCCGGTTCAACCTCTCAAATCCTCTCATGATCTTGAAAATCTCTATTAAATCCCCTCTTAATCTTTTCTCTAGGGAGAATAATCCTAGTTTTGCTAACCTCTCCTCATAACTAAGGTCCTTCATTCCTGGTACCATCCTGGTAAATTTCCTTTGCACCTTCTCCAATGTCCTAACATCTTTCCTAAAGTGCAGTGCCCAGAACTGAACGCAGTACTCCAACTGAGGCCTAACCAGCATTTTATAAATATTCAACATACCCTCCTGACTTTTGAATTCTATGCCCCTATTTATAAAACCTAGTATCCCGTAAGCTTTTTTAACAGCTTTATCCACCTGTCCTGCCACCTTCAGAGATTTGTTTATGTGGACCCCCAGGTCTCTCTGTTCATTTGCCCCCTTTAAGATTGTACCATCTAGCTTATACTGCCTTTCCGCATTCTTCCTACCAAACTGCAACACTGTGCATTTCTCCACATTAAACCTCATCTGCCACGTTTCTGCCCAATTTACCAATCTGTCTATCCTGCTGGAGTCTGGTGCTATCCTCCTCACCATTAACTACTTTTCCTAGCTTAGTATTATCTGCAGATTTGGAAATTGTGCTCCCTATATCCAGGTCCAAATCATTAATATAGATCAGAAAGAGCAGTGGTCCCAATACTGCCTCCTGAGGGTTACCACTACACACTCCCTCCAGTCAGAAAAGCATCCGTTTACTACCACTCTCTGCTTTCTGTCTCCAAGCCAGTTCTGGATCCATGTTGCCACAGTCCCTTTAATACAGTGGGCTTCTATTTTGTTTCTATCTCTTACGTGACGCCTTGTCAAATACCTTTTGAAAATCTAGATAAACTACGTCTACTGTACTAACTTCATCCACCCTCTCAGTCAGTTCATGTGTTGACTGTCCTTTATTAAACCATATTTTTCTAAGTGAGAATTTATATTGTCCCAGATTATAGTCTCCAGAAGTTTCCCTACTACTGATTTTAGGCTGATTGGCCTGGAGTTCTCAGGTTTATCCTTCTGCCCCTTTTTGTACAGGGGAGTAACATTTACAACCTTCCAGTCCTCTGGCACCACTCCAGTGTCCAAAGAGGATTGAAAGATTGTGGCCAGAGCCTCCGCTATTTCCACCCTTGCTTTCTTCAGTAATCTAGGATGCATCCTGTCCAGACCAGGTGACTTATCTATGTGGAGCACCGATAGCCTTTTTAGTACCTCCTCTCTGTGGATTCTTATAATATCCAATTTCTGTTCAAACGCCTGCAATATTGTGGCATTGGTTGCATCGTCTTCTTTTAGAATGTTCTATTTGATTATCCTGTGTGTTTTGGACCCAAAATTTGTCATAAGCCTCCTTTTTCTGTTTTATTTTAATCCCAATTTCCTTAGTCATCCAGGGAGGTTTGACTGTTCTACCTTTCCCCTTTATGGGAATGTATTTGCTCCGTCCCTGAACTATCTCCTCCTTGAAGGCTTCCCATTGTTCGTTTGCTATCTTACCTGCCAATCTATCTTGGCCAGGTCCTTTTTTAGCTCACTGAAATTAGCCCGCTTCCAGTTGAGGGTCTTTACCTTTAATTGATAGTTATCCTTTTCCATAACTATTTTAAATCTAATGATATTGTGATCACTATTATCCAGATGCTCTCCTAATGAAACCTGCTCCACCTTGCCCCACTTCATTTCCCAGCACTAAATCCAGTACTGTTTCCTTCCTCATTGGGCTGGAAACATGCTGATCCAGAAAGTTCTCCTGCACACATTTCAGGAATCCCTCCCCTTCCTTGCCCTTTACAATGTGTATTTCCCAGTCTATGTTAGGATAATTGAAGTCCCCCATTATCACTACTCTATTGCATCTCTCCGAAATCTGCTTGCAGATTTGCTCATCTATTTCCTTCCCATTTTTGAAGGTCTGTAGTAAATACCTAACAGAATAACAGCTCCTTTTCTGCTCTGTAACGCTAACCAAATAGATTCCGTTTTTGGACCCTCTAACACATCATCCTTTTCCAGGACCGTGACTGTGTCCCTAATGAATATTGTCATCCCTCCTCCATTTTTCCCTTTCCTATCCCTCCTGAACAGGTTGTAATCTGCTCTACATTTCTTCCCTATCTCTTTCCACTTTTTGCTGGACTATTCTTTGTTTCATTTCTATTTGTCTCTCCTCGTCCATTATGTACTCGTTTCCCCTCCCTGAATCTATATTCTTATCCCCATCCCCCATCAAAATCAGTTTAAACGCTTCCCCACAGCATTTGTTATCCTTGTTGCAATGATACTGGTCCCAGCCCTGCTCAGGTGTAACCCATCCCTCGTGTACAGGTCCCATCTGACCCAGAAGTGGTCCCAGTGGTTTAGAAACCTGAAGCCCTCCTTCCTGCACCATTTCTCCAGCCAGGCATTCATGTGTTTGATCCTGCCGGTTTGGTATTCACTTGCATCAGGCATTGGGAGTAAACCCAGGATCATCACCATTGAGGTCCTGCTCTTTAGCTTATTCCCAAGCTTCTGATATTTTCCCTGTAGGGTCTCAGCCCTTTTATCACCTAAATGATGGATCCCGACATGACCTCAACTTCCGGATTTTCCTCTTCCCCCTGTAGTATATTTTGTACCCGTTCCATGACATCATGCACGCTGGCCCCAGGGAGGCAGCATACCATGCACGAGTCCCGTCTTTTATGGCAGAAACGCCCGTCTATCCCTTTAAATGTTGTATCCCCGATAACAACAGCGTGGCGTTTTGCCCTTTGTCCCCCTGAACATCCATTACCTTTCGACTCTTCTCGCCAGAGGCATCCTCACCAGTATCCAGTACCGAGAACCGGTTTGTGAGTGCTATACTCTTAGGGGATTTCTGTACTGCCTGTTTTTTTCTTTTTGCTCCACGTCAGATGGTCATCCACTCACCCTTCTTCTGAGCCCTCTGTGTAGCTGAGGTGACCACCTCCTGAACTCTCTGGCTGTGGGCTGACCACCTCCTGAAAAGTTCAATCCATGAACACATGAACCATTCTGGAGTTCCCACATGGCACACAATGTGCATGGAATTGGTCTCAGCTGTCACTACCACCTAATTCCCAAAAAGAATTCTCACTCTGTTCCTCCTCACTCCTTTGCCTCCTCATACTCCTGGGCTCTTGCAAGTCTTCCCCCTTTATATAGGACTCAAACAAACGCACTCAGTTTCGACTGGTCAGCAACTGAATTAATCTTCAACACTTGGCCTATGATTAATTGCTAATTGACTTGCTTACCTGCTTCCATATAAGGTTGCCCCTAGCCCAGCAAAGATTTTCTGCTCTTTGGCTGAATGAAAGTTCTCTCTAGCTCTCTGTTAGCTGTCTAGCGGGGAAACAAATCAGCCAATTAAGTGGCCAAGTTGTTAGTATTATTTATTTATTTTAAGGGATTTTTACCCCGGAAATTCGCCAATTGACCAACAACCTACTCACTGCTGTGTAAACAGAGGCGCCTGATTAAGGAAAACTTGACTAAGATTTCGCCCTGCTCGGGAATCAAATTCTCTAAGCAATACACTGCAGGATGTCAGCCACCCAGGACAAAACAATCCAACACACAATCATTCACCAACGGCATATTTAAACAAATTGCAAAAGTCCTTCCAATCCCTGAATTATGATATGTAAGATCATCCTCTGTTTTTTTCCAATCATGCTCAAATGGGGGAAATCTCCACTCTGTGGATTGATGAGCATTAAATATATTAAGAAATGGAGTTCAACCTCAGCATTGTGCAATCTGGCTACACCGACAGAAAATAACTCCACACACAATCTTTGATCCCCATTTTTAATGCTACAACTCACAATGTTTAGGCATTTTTTACTGTGGGTTTTGCAACAAAACTAAAAGGTAGGCATACCCACTTTAAAGAGCTTTTTACACATGGGAAATTAAAGCACTTTACTTGAGTGGAAATGTTAATGAAAATGTATTAGGATTTTTGAATGACCAACTCATCCAATTTTTGAAAATATGCTGCACTGATTTCAAACTTTCTTTCATTCTTCCCAACACTGAGCAAGAGCCAAACTTAAGATTGCCTTCTCCTGCCTTCCAACCTTATCCAAATGAATAACTATTGCCAACGATAAGTAACACATCTTATACAGTATTTTTCACCACTTTAGGAGATGATGAACCTTGCACTTGTCTAGGTGTTGTCACATCGCCAACTTCACCTTTCCTCTTTCCTCTCCACCTTCAAAACCCACCAGAAAGCCTCTCTCTTCTCCACAGCATTCTCTTTTACCAGTCAGTTGTGTGAAGTGCTTTGAGATTCTGGGAGACTGACATGAGAGGGGCTATATAAATATAAAGTGTTATTCTTTCCTCTGATACATTAAGAGCTCAAATTGGGGCAATTTTGTCATCAGGATTTATTCAAAGATCATCTTACCTCCAGAATTCAATTCAATTCACTTTTGATTGGTACTGGCTAATCATGAGATGAGACTGTCCTACTTTTGTGGACATATTTCAAAGTCTGGGTCCTGAAAGACAGTTTCAAGATAAGCAACATATAGTACATGGCATCAGCAAAAGTAAATGTGATGATCGTCATATTTTGGATGTATTGAGGAATATATTTTGAAAAACATCTTAACAATGATATTTATTGCATCCACAGATTTCACACATCAAAATAATATAATTTGAAAAACAGACTGGGTTAATTTCAAAAATGTGTTTTAGAGCAAACAAATTCTATATTTGCAATAAAGCTTGTTATTATGATCAAATGTAGGATGACAGCAAGATTTGTATGAGCTGCAAAATAAGTACCTTGAATTGTTATATGAACATAATATCCCTTTTCTCCACAGTTCCACCAAAGATCTACAACATCTCTTCTGACATCATCGTCAATGAAGGCAGTAATGTGACTCTTGTGTGTCTAGCTAATGGAAGACCAGAGCCTGTCATCAATTGGAGACACATTTCTCCTTCTGGTAAGAGCTAAAATTCATCAATTCAGGCTGATTACAGATTACTTTGTCAGAAACATTGGTTTGTTGAAAGCGTTCAGATCTGAGTACTGTCATGCTAATGTTTTAAAAGTCTAACCACTAAACTACTCGACATTTAGACAATTAATTGTGGAGCATGCTTTAAGTGTACATCAGTTTGAAGTGTTTGGAGGTAACTTTTACAATGTTTCATAACATATTAGATTTGATGTGATATTTATTGCATCCAATTTGTTACAAAATGGTGGCTTTAACGTTGGATGTCCGGAAAGCCCAAAGTTCTCTATACTTCCGATTGCGACTAACAGCAGTTTTGGTGATCTCAAAATAGGACTCAGCCATATTCTCTGACAGCAGCTTCAGATGTTGTTACTAAGTTGATAATATTGTTTACTCAAAAAAATGTTTATTCAAGGTTGTCCCACTCAAAGATGATGGCCAAAGATGTTTCATTAACCTCTCACAGAGCAAACATTTAGATCTGTAAGTGGTGGTGTTATTCGGAGCTGAAGCTAGGTGATAATTGTTGTCTGAAATTTCACCATTTCATGAAACGTTTGGTGCCCAAAATTTTACTTTCTCTTCACTTGTAAAGCCATTTTGATTTCAGATTTGTCCATAGTGTTGTAGAAAATTCTTAAATTCAGTCTTAATTGGAAGCCAGTTTTCCACTAATCTTAAAAAAACTTCCAAATTAACACTGAATTTAAGAGTTTTCCACAATTCTTCAGACAAAATAGGCTTGTAGACTATGACAAGTGGAATTTGGGGCTTTTCAATTTCAATTTTCAATTTCAGAACTGTCATATTACGTCTATGAAATGTTGCCCATACAGAACATCATATGGCTTCCAATTACCAAATTCCAATAGTCCATCCACAAAAAAAATCTATATGGTTGGCCCTTTGGAAGTCTATTTTTATCATAAATTTAACTTAATTAGAATATTGCTTTAACGTGAACTAAATTATGTGTGCTAAACATTTAGAAATTGTTTTAAAAAGAAACATTGAATTAGTGAAAAAAATCTGGAACTCCAATTCCACCTGTAGACTTTTATTCTGTGTCATGGAATAAGATACAGCAAATTATAATGTCTGAAAGCATTCCAATATGCAATAGGTTTGTAAATTGCACCCTTTGAGACGATCATGCATAATTGATACTCTTAAGTATGGTGATGGGTTTCCACATGTGTCAGATACCTGGCTGACTCTAAAACGTCCTGTATAGGTAAATCGATGCTGAAGAGTAGTTATTTTTGCTGCTTCTGGTTTTGACTTGAAGTTCAATCATGGCTCTTCAAGATTTGTAACATATTCAGTGTCAGCGAGCACAAAAGTAAGAAGCCTTGTTGCATGCACGAGATACCTTTGAGGTTTATTTCATTCCGAGATGCTAACAAAATCTTAACAAAATAACTCTGCAACCCTGTATAATGCATGGCCACTAACCACAAAAATGGTATTCATAAATTTTGGAGAGGTTTGCAAGGCATAATGTGAAAAGATACATTCGCACATGTTCACCCAGATCTGGGCATTGTGACCAGTCAGTCATCAAACACTTGTGCATGGTCTGTTACGTAGGAAGTTAAAAAAATCTTTTTTTAAAACTGGGTCAATAAACGTGGAACCTGACTATATTAATCATAGTTGTGATGCTCATTCTGGTGTACAAAGAAAGTAGTTTATATTACTCTGTAGTGCACTAATGAGGACAGTCATTCAAGTGGTTGTACATTGCACAACACAGTTAGTAATTTATTTCTGAGCATAACGAAGTAAACTCTGATTAATATTCTTCCTGGAATTTTACTGGTGTTAGATTGGCATTGAGCGTTAACTGTTTAAAGGGTCACGCTTAGTTTTTCTTTAATCTTGTTATTGCCATTTGCGTTTGCTGGGTTAAACCCAATAGAGAACAAATAAGAAATTGATTCTTCCAGAATTGCCAGGGAAAATAAGTTTATTTTATCAATATTATTCTAGTGATTGATCTTATTTAATTACAAAGTATAATAAGGTATACACATGCGAAGCATAATAATAAAGTACCCATGTACAAATCATGACCTGGTAAGGCATTCTGTTGTGTTCACGTAAGTCCCAATCTAATAACAATAATCCTTGCATTTGGATAACACCTTATCACTTTGGCAAGGTCTCAAACCATTTCACATGATTTACTGTAAAACACAGTGATATGTATTTGCAGATGAATGCAGCAGCCAATTTCCACACAGCAATATCGCACAAACAGCCATGAAGCAAATGATAATTATTATCTGGGGATTGTTGGCCAGTTTCACCAGGAAAAACATCCATCTCTTCTATTGCCATGACATCTTTAACGTACACCTGAACAAACATACAGAACTTCTGTCTTGCATCTCATTCTTAAGGATGCTACCTCTGACAATGCGGTGTTCCCCCAACAATGTACTTGAACTCATAACCTTCTCACTGGGAGGCAAACATACTACCAACTGAAACAAAAAACAAAAGTTGCTGGGAACACTCAGCATAGAATAGAGGTGTTAATAATGCAAAACAAAGAGGGGGAAAAATTGCAACAAAATAGGCAGACCAGAGAGAGAAAAGGTGGTGGTCACAGAAGAGTGGGTGGGGGGGGAAATTGTTTTGTTGCAATTCCCCCCCCTTGTTTCCCCCAAGGCTCTGTCCTTGGTCCCCTCCTCTTCACCCTCTATATGCTCCCCCTTGGTGACATCATCCGCAGACATGGAGTTAACTTCCACATGTATGCGGATGACACCCAACTCTACCTTTCCTCCTCTACTCTCAACTCCACGACCACCGATGTCCTGACAGCCTGCCTGTCCGACATCGAGTCCTGGACGAGAGACAACTTTCTTCAGCTCAACGTGCGAAAAACCGAGGCCCTCCTGATTGGCTCACGTCAGCGCCTCCGCACCTCAGGCGCTGACACCATCAGCATCCAAGGATGCACTCTCCACCTCTCAAAGCCAGTCAGGAACCTTGGCGTTTTGTTCGACCCTGAGCTGTCCTTTCTCCCTCACATCCGCACCACAATTGGCACCGCCTTCCATCACCTCCAGAACATCGCCAGACTACGGCATTACCTCACCCCTCACGCTGCTGAAACCCTAGTTCACGCCTTCGTCACCTCAAGGCTGGACTATGGGAACTCTCTCCTCGCCGGCCTTCCCGCCACCTCCCTCCACAAGCTGCAGATCATTCAAAACTCTGCAGCTCGTGTACTGTCCCGCACCAGGCTTCGGGACCACATCACTCCCACCCTCGCTCGCCTCCACTGGCTCCCCATCCCCCAGAGGATTGATTTCAAGATCCTCATCCTCACCTACAAGGCCATTCACGGCCTTGCTCCCTCCTACCTCTCCGACCTACTATCCCCCTACCTACCTGCCCGTACCCTCCGTTCCTCTGGCTCCGGTCTGCTCCACGTCCCCCGCCCCAACCGCCCTACCATCGGTGGTCGGGCCTTCAGCCTCTCAGCCCCTAGGCTCTGGAACTCCATCCCCCAGTGCCTTCGCCGCCTCCTCCCTTTCCTCCTTCAAGGCCGGTCTCAAAACCTTTCTCTTTGACTGAGCCTTCAGCTCCCCTCTCGACTCTCTTCCCCCTCCTCGCTCCCTCTCTTCCCTCCCCTCACCCTGACCATTTCCTCCCTCCTCGCTCCCTCCCTTCGCTCCCCTCACCCTGACCATTTCCCCCCTCCTCGCTCCCTCCCTTCCCTCCCCTCACCCTGACCATTTCCCCCCTGCTCGGGTCATGACCCAACTGTGCAGCGCCTTGGGACGTCCTCCTGACGTGAAAGGCGCTTTATAAATGGAATCTTGTTGTTGTTGTTGTTGTTTTGCATTATTAACACCTCTATTCCCCTGTTTTGTTGTAATACACCCTTTCTTTCACATCATTAACATCTCTTTAACCCATCAATCCTTGTCCTCTACTCCATTTTCTCCTTTGTCTTCTGACAAAGGGTTATGGACCCTAAACGTTGACTCACTTTCCTCTCTCCATAGATGCTGCGTGACCTGCTGAGTGTTCCCAGCGACTTCTGTTTTTGTTTCAGATTTCCAGCATCTGCAGTATTTTGAGTTTTGTTTATGCTGCCAACTGAACTTGGTTAACACCATCACACCAGCAACTGAGAGAGGCAGATATCTATCTTGCATTCTGACAACAACATACTATTTCTTTTTTACTATAAAGGTTAATTTATCAATACAGTCCGATTTTTAAATCATAATTGACACTATGAAGCAAAGTGTTACAGAAAAGCCTAACATGCCCTACAATTGGTAACAAAATGGGGCTTTATTCAAGCTATCTAGAGTGTTTCATGAAGGAGCGACAATATCTTGATTTATTTATTTCCACGCTATCTCAGTCTTCTGCAGTGCAGTTGTCAATCCCCTGAGACAGCTTTCACATGATCACACATCACTGTGCTTTCAAAAATCACATCTCATTTTTGTTGTCGAGACTTGTCACTGATCGTTACACTGTGAGATAGCCACAGAAGTGAAGTAGCCTCCTTTCCTCTCTCCCCCCCTCTTCTGAATTTGTTGATACTGTACCTACTTGTCTGTTTCACTCACTCATCATAGTGCATGCTTGTCAATTTCATCCTGTGCTATATGAATGGTTACATTATTTCTTAACACTGCATCTGCATTCAGGAAAACTGCAGTATTCACTGAAGAGTGTGGAACCTCATATACAGAAACTCATAGCATTTATATAGCCTAATATTTTACCTTTCACGTAAAATACAAAGCCTTGAAGTGCTTTACAAAAAAAATGAGAAATTAAGTCTATGTTATATTTGTAAATGCTCTATACCGGTCTCATCTCATAGTGTAAGAGGGTGTTTCAAAGATTTCTCAGTATTTCTGAAGGATAATATATGAGATGTATATAGTGTTTTCATGTGATATTGCAAGCGGTGATTTCTGCAGCTTGTCTGCTAGGTTGAA